AAACAAGGATTTTTATAGTAAGTGGGATTATGATGAGATGAAATGACCAGATTAGACACAAATTTCGTTAATGTCCCACAGGGCAAAATCACTGTACCCCTTGCATTATCTTCCCACTGGACAGAACAGACAGCCATGCAGTTTCATTATTGTAAAATGCCTGCACCTGCTCAATTGTGCACATAGGGACTCTCTAAGCACGCAGTCAGCTTTTTGCCTTAATTTTGGTTTGTGGAGCACTGTTCTTTGCATCACCTGACACGTGGTATGTATTTATTTATGTTTATTGCTTGCTGCCTTGTGTAGTATGTGTACTCCCGGAGGGCAGGGAAACGAGATGTCTTGCTCCCCATGTCAATATCCAGCATGTGGAAAGTGCTCGATAAATATTTGCGGTATGACTGGGTGTGTCAGGCTGGAGAGGAACATGACGCCACTGCTTCCACCCTGGAGCTCACCACCTGGTAAGCGAGACCTGGAAACAATTACGCACTGAATCTTAAAGGGGCTGTAACACAGAGGGAAAAGCTTTCTGGAAGAAGGGACAAAGCAGACGGGCTGGGTGAGGGTGGTTTCAGGGTGGGCGTGGGTCAAGAGGCCGACGGCTAAGAGTGCGGTGTGTTCTGGGAGCAGGAGGGAATTCAGTATGGTGGTTGGGATGACCTGGAAGGTAGGCAGAGGCCAGATCTTGGGGGCCTTGAGGACCCTGTGCCAGGACGGTGGGTTTTATGCAATGACCTCTCATGGCAGATATCTACAGAGACTTGACACTCATGACTGATATCCAGCCCCAAGAGCAAGTCCCCGAATTCACAAGGATGTCCTTCCATCATATATGCTGAAGAACATGTATTCTTACACATCCGCTTATGACAGTGGTTCTCAACCTTCTGGCCCTTTAAATACAGTTCCTCATGTTGTGACCCAACCATAAAATTATTTTTGTTGCCACTTCATAACTGTAATATTGCTATTGTTATGAATCGTAATGTAAACATCTGATATGCAGGATGGTCGTAGGTGACCCCTGTGAAAGGGTCGTTCAACCACCAAAGGTTGAGAACCGCTGGCTTATGAAATCCTCCTAGCCAACACCGAGTGTAGACTTGGGGAGATGAGGCATTTTATGTAGCTGAGGAGCAGAGTGTGGAGTGGGAAAGGACCCAGCTCTTGGAGACTGGCCTTCCTGCAGCGTCTAGACTTGCAGTTTCTCCACAAGTCAGTTTACATGCTGAGAGCATGTCCTTTGGGCTCTGTGTTAGTTTCCTGAGGCTGCCGCAGCAAATTACCACAAACTGGGTGGCTTAAAACAATAGAAATGTATTCTCTCAGTCCTGGAGGTCAGAAACCCCTCAAGGCTCTGGGGGATTCTTCCTGCCTCTTCTGGTGGCTCTAGCATTCCTTGGCTTGTGGCCACATCACTCCAATATGCATATGTTGTCCATTGCCTTTTTCTCTGTCTCAACTCTCCCTTTCTTTTTTCTTATAAGGATACCTGTCTTTGGATTTAGGGCCCACCCTAAACCTAGGATGACATAGAGTGTGGCTCCTTCACAAAATACCGACTTCTGCGCATGGGCCATGAAGTTTCAATCGCACTGTACATGTGCGCCCGCACATGGTATTTTGTGGAAGAGCCACACTCAAGGGGCCAAAGAGCCGCATGTGGCTCGCGAGCCGCGGTTTGCCGACCATGGACATAGACCATAACTTAATTACATCTGCAAAGACCCTTTTCCCAAACAAGCTCCCACTGTAGATTCTGGGGGTTAGTATGCGGACCTATATTTGGCGGGGAGTGGGGGTGGGGGGGTGGGGTGGAGGCAAACACCATTCAAACCACTGCAGCTTCAGAAAGGTTTGGAAACAGTTTGCCTTCTGTTTCTTCAGGAATTATTGAAATTGTCTTGAACTCCAAATAGAAGAAGACAAGGAACTCAGGTTTTACTGGGGATGCCTCTTCCCAGAACAAGGTGTGAGCAGATTTGGTGGTGTCTGGTGGGAGCCTGCTTCTAGGTTCACAGACAGCCGTCTTCTCATTGTGTGTGTGTGTGTTTTAATATGTTTTATTTTATTTTTAATATATTTTTATTGATTTCAGAGAGGAAGGGAGAGGGAGCGAGAGGTAGAAACATCAATGATGAGAGAGAATCACTGATCCGCTGCCTCCTGCACTCTCCCTCTCCCTTTCTCTCTGAAATCAGTAAAAATATATTGAGGAGAAAAAAACCCTATTAGGACCATATCGGCAATCTACTGAAAATGCCCCTGGGCATCTTACACGAATCAGCTAACACAACCTTCACGGTAACTGGAAGAGGAGTGGCACCATCCACCGATGAGAGAGCTGAGGGGCAGAGAGGCGAGCGAGGTCATGTGTCCAGTCACGTGGCTGCTGCTCCACGGCAGTCAGTATTGGAACCCAGGCCAGCCCAACCCGAGCTTACGCTCTTAACCAGGAAGGAGGAGTCACAGCCTTGCTCTTCACAGTATGGCTGCCGCACCAGCAGCACCAGTGTCACCTGGGAGCTTGCTAAATGGCAGCGTGGGGCCCCGCCCAGGACTGGAGAGACCCTGGGCGGTCTGCATGCTTCGCCATTTGCTGGGTTCACCATCTTTCCCGTGCAGGCTTGAACAACCAAGTCCCCTTCTTGAGCCACATATTTCTCTGAAAATGTGAGAACGTGTCAAAAAAGAACTGGGTCCAATGGCCTGGGTTGATTCCCCAAACATCCGCCTGGTTTGATGATTTTGAAACGTTGCCACTAAACAAGTACTTACAGAGGCTCAAGCGAAGCCGTACAGCACAGCGAGGAGGGCGCATTCGACTCCGAGAAGTGAACATCTGGCCGTGCTGCGAGCTACAGTGGTCGAGATAAACTCCTGGCTCCACTTAGACTCTAAGTCTTAGAGGAAGCTTCAGGCCGAGCGGCTTAGACATAAAAGCATTTGCCCTAATGTGCCAGGTGAAAGGTGCCACAACGCTGTTGCTTGGTGCCAATTACACTTAAGGCTTGTCCCCAGGAGTGCTATCAGTGTGGCCGCTAGTGCTAATGCATGGCTGGCTGGGGCTGTGCAGTGGGGTTCTCTTTCAAGACTCATTACTAATGTCCTGTTGTGTTCTGCGACTCGGCCCCATTACACCATGTCTGAGTAGCAATCCTGGAAAACGGGAGTAGCTCAAAGGCTATGCTCCTGAAACACTGTGCATGCGAGCCCCTGGGGGGTCCTAGCAAAATGCAGGTTCAACTTGGGTCTGGGCCGGGCTGCTGTTCTAACAAGCTCCCAGTCGGGGCCCGCCACCACTGCTGCTTGTGGGAATGTGAAGAGCATGGGCATCGGGATCAGCCAGGCGCGGGCTCTGAGCTTGACTCTGCCACTTGGTAGCTGTGTGATGTTGAGCAAGTTGCTTAACCTCTCTGAGCTTCAGATTTCTCATTATGGGGATCCCTTCAGCCTTTTAGGGTCTTTAAGATTTAGGGCTAGTGTGTGTAGATTTTCTTCCCACTTCTGGAGAGGAGGGGTGAGATTCATTCTGCTGTATCACCTTCACTGCAGGTTCGGCGGAGACCCGTTTTTCTTTCCTCAAGTAGCTAATCTCCTATTGCAGGTCAGCGTTTCTCAACCTCAGCACTGTTACCATTTGGGGCTGGATCATTCTTAGTTGGGGGGGAGCTGTCCTGTGCACTGCACGCCTTTAGCAGTGCCCCTGGTCAGCAGCACCCATCTCCTCGAGTTGTAATGACCAAAAATGTTTGCAAACATGGCCAAATGCCACTGGAGCCTGCAACTGGGAAACACCGTCCTAGCAATAATTCACACTAGTGATTCCCTCAACATGTGTCCATACCTAGTGTGGGCCAGGCCATATGCCAGAAATATATTGCTATTAAGACTAACTGGATACCTGACCTCATGGAGATATTTTCTTTTTCCTTTTGGAGCCTCAGTCTTCCCAACTGTTAAATGGGTATAGCCAGGCTGCTGACCTAGAGTTGCTATGAAGATGAAATAAGACTTGCAACTGCCTGAACCCTGGTGTGCAGATAAGCCAACGACTGCAGTGTGATGGGCCTGGGTGCTTGGGGAGAGGTGAGCCTGGGCAGGGACAGCTGCAGCTGGAGGGGTGGAGAGAAGCCAGGAGGTCTGGGCAATGAGGGGCAGGCGGGAGGGGCCATGCTGGGCCCTGGAGGAAAATGGCAGGAGAAGCAAGCTGGGGAAAGGGTGCTGCAGGGAGAGCCAAGGGCAGTGGGAAGATGGGACCCAAATTGGAAAGGACAGAGACAGTGGGAGAGAGGCACAGACAAAGGGTAACCAGACAGACACATGCGTTTTGGTTATAAAGGGTTAAAACAGCAAACAAAGGCTCAAGCTCCACTTGCCAGGAGAGTGCAGTGCCTGCCTCCTCCTCCCAAAGGGAGGGACAGGGACAGGCGGCGCAGCCATGAAGGAAATGAGGCTTCCGAGTCTCACTCTGCGTGGTGTTATTACAGTAACTGTGGCGACATATTAAACACATTTGTAAGCAGCAGAGGGGAGCGTAGACGACGACTGGCTCAGCCCTGGGTGCCCGCCCCCAAGGGAAGTGCGAGTGGAATCAAGTTGAGAACATTTGCCCAACTTGACCGAGCAGCTCTTGAAACATCCCGCATCGCATTACAAGTCGGCAGCCTGAACCCACATAACCGAATGGACTTCCAGCGGGGCAGGGACGTTCTCTAGGAGGAGCAACCGACTCCAGAAAACTATCCAGCATCATAGGAGGTGCATGGGCCACGTTTTAAAAACACTAACACCTCACCCTGGCCGGTGTGGCTCAGTTGGTTGGGCGTCATCCCGTGCACTGAAACCTTGCTGGTTTGATTCCTAGCCAGGGCACATGCCCAGGCTGCAGGCTCAATCCCCCAGAGAGGGAGTACAGGAGGCAGCCAATTGATGTTTTGCTCTCACATTGATGTGTGTGTGTCTCTCTCTCTCTCAAAAAAAGCTACCATCTCGAATCTCGAGCCCATCCCTCTGGGAGCCTCTGACTTTATTAGAGCCGATCAGGACAGTGGAGGAACTGTACTGGCAGACGCAACGGGTCACGTTCCTGGTTCCACAAAGATCTTCCACAGCTCCTGCAGCAAACAGAGAAAGGCGAGATTCCCAGATGCCCAGGGGAGGCCTCACAATTTCATAAGGGACATAATTAGCAAAGAACAAACAACACGTGAGCCAGGGCAGCAGGCAAACAACTGCAGGAGCGGGCCCGTCCGGTCTCCGTGTTCTGGCTGTTCTCCCTGCTTCACTGCGGAGAAGCGGATGGGTAGGTCCCAGCAGGAGTCCAGGAGGCACCAGATGCCACACGGTCACTAGGAACCAGGAAAGGGCAGCAAGCTGCCACAATCTCTCCACCTGGGCAGGTCTTTAGTGCCCTGTACTGTGGCTGCTGAATTTAGAAGCAGCTGTGGCTGCAGGTGGAGAAGGTACAACAACACGCCAGGTTCTTAGTGGGAGCTCCATGTCCTGTTTGCTGTCTACCGGGAGGCTGACAAGCAGCGCGCTAAGGGGCAGGGAGGCTGCCCAGAGGCAGTGGAGCAATAAGCAGAGGGGGAAATTGGACAGGGAAGACTGACAGGGTGCATCTGAAATAAGCTGTTGCAGAAAAGCTCTACGAATAGCCTGGACTGCCAGAAAGATGAACACATGGGTCTTAGAGCAAATGAAGCCTGAAGCAGTGCTGGAGGCAGAAACGACACACTGAGCCACCCTCCTGCAGGCACATCCCGAGGCAGGGCTCCTTGGAAAAGACAGGAATGCTGGGAAAAACAGAAGGTGGCAGGAAAAGAGAAAGGCCAAACATGAGAGGGACCGACTCCATGAAAGATGCCACAGGCCTGAGCAGGGCTGCAAAGGAGAGGACACTAGACAGCACTCAGCCACAGGGTCACCAGGACTCGGGGCCAAGTCAACAGCCGTCACACACACACACCTCCTCGCAAACGGCAACCGCACAGATGCAGTGCTGCGCTTGCTTTGGGGAAGGACAGGAGTGTGCTCCTCCCCTTTCCTCCTCAGAACCAGGTTCAGATTTCCAGACCCAGCGAAAGGGAGGCCACAGGCCGAAGGTAACGAACAAAAGACGTGAATTCTGGAGCTTTGGACATCTGTGAATCCTGCTCCTGGTAACGTTACAGGATTTTCAAGGGTAATTTTAACTTTTCAAGTTTTCTCCAAGTGCTGGGCTTAGAAACAGTAACCGGAGGTCAGTGGCTGTAGGCTTAAGCCCCAGCTCCGCTGCTCCCTGGCTGGGGGACTCACCGAGCATTAACTGGGACAGGGATGATGTCATCGGGATGCTTACTAAGAGGCCTGATATGGTGGGACCCCATTGCGGGGTCAGAAGGCCATCGGTCACCAGACAAGCCTGCCTGGTCCGCAAGGCCAGCACATTTCCCCCGTGGAGATGCCACCATCAGCACCGGAAGTCCCTGCACCAAGATCTTCAACCCAACCAAGTGGCTCCCACAACTGAGCCCCAACGGCCCACAGGGAAACACTGCGCTGTGAGGTGACGGTTCACCTGCAGGCCCATCCCTGGACACGGTGACTTAGGAGCAGGGGAGATCCCATCAGGGGCTTCACTAGAGAGAGCACGTTGCCGACTCAACAGCGTCCTGCCAGAGCACCCACCAGCTGCCGGATGCGCTCATACTCCAGGCGCTGCGGGAAGGCGGCTTCCACCGGCTCCACCGCGAAGCGCAGCTGGCCGTCCTGGAGCTGCTCCAGCTGCCGCAGGCAGGCGCGGAAGTGGTCGTAGGCCTCGCAGGTGACGTCCAGGTGACTCAGCGTGAAGTTCAGCCTGCAAACAAGCAGACCACACACTGCTGTCCCCACTGAGGGCCTTCCTGCTGGTGGGTTTTCCGAGTGCCCACTGTGTGCTGAGCATCTGGGCGCGCTGCCTGCCTGGTCTGCAGGGCGGCCGGGGAGGTGGACACGGCTACCACCTCCACTTTACAGCTGTGGAGACAGCCTCAGAGCTGAACGCACGTGCTCAAGTGACCCCATGGCCCAAGGAGCTACAAATTGGCGCACGAGGTGGACACAGACTAACATCTGAGGCCAGCACAGATCTGGGCATGGCTTGTCCATGACAGGGCAGTGGCACAGGGAGGGGCAGAGGCCTGCGAGAACCTGTGGGCGGAGGAACGCTGCTGGGAAGTGGGTGGGGTGGGGAGCTAAGGGGGGGGGTTGAGGGGGAGGGGGGATGGCCAGAACTGAGTCCTCACAGAGCATCCCCAGCTGGGCTGCTCACACCTCTCTACAACCTAGTCTGCAACATGACTCAGCTTGAAATTCAAACCCTTTGTTTCTTCCCAAAATTTTTTTCTAAGAAAATGTCAAAGATATTAAAGAGCGAGAACAGGTAACAGACTGCCCAGCTTCAGCCTCTGTCACCTCTGCCTTCCTTCCACCACTCGATTCAAAAGAAAATGTCAGACATCACAGAATTTCTTCCATGCATGTGTCTGTGTGTATCTTGAAAACATAAAGGCTCTTTTCACCTAAAACAAATTCAATGATAATTCTTTTATTTTTAAAATAAAATGCTTTTATTGGTTTTAGAGAGAACAACATTGATGAATCATTGATTGGCTGCCTCCTGCATGCCCCCTACTAGGGATCAAGCCTGCAACCCAGGCATGTGCCCTGAGCCAGAATCGAACCAGCGACCAACCTCTTGGTTCATGGGTCAAGGCTCAGCCACTGAACCACACTGGCCGGGTAAATTCAATGATAATTCTTTATCATCAAGTAGCCAGTCAGTATTCAACTTTTCCTGGCTGTCTCAATTTTTCCCTTTATGGCCTCCAATCAGAATTCAGGTGGGGGTCACTGGTCATGTGCTGCCCTTGGTCATGTGGGCCTTGAAGGCAGTCCTAGATACTATTGGTGTAAACAGTGAACTTGCCGTGTGGATGGCTTTGTTCAGAGCTGTGATTGCTTCCACAGGCTGAGTTTCTAGGTGCTGAATTGCTGGGTGAGTGATTACGCTCGGTGTGGTGGCTTTTGATACATGTTCCGAGCTGCCTTCAGGAAAGCTGTGGCCTATGGTAAGCTCAGAGAGCTGTGCAGAGTGTCTAGCCCTGGCCTGTCTCGAGATGGATGCTGCGTCAAGCAGGAGTCTGAGCAGATCAGGCCATTCCAGCGGAACGTCCTGGAAGGCTGCGTCTGCATCAGGGAGAGGACAGAGGCCTGGGACCAAGGAGACAGAGTGGCCCGGAGGGAACGCGCAGAAAGAGCAAAGGCCCTCGACAGTGCGGTGGCCACGTGCCTCGGCTCTGGTGCACAGCCTACGTTCAAGCCCTTGACCTCACACTGACCAGCTGTGGCCAGGAAGGTTCCCTGATGGCACTCGGACTTCCTCTCCTCACCTGAGAATTGGGACGGCAGTGCCCACACAGGTGGGCTGGTGTGTGGATTACATGGCGTGTGCAGGGCGTACAGTAGATGCTGAGTAAATGAGCGACAGTAAGGACACTGACTGTGACGTGTTTAGAAGGTGAGCCTGGCTCTCAGATGCCAGCACCCCCTCTCACCCCCTCACCCCCTCCCCGCGGCCCCTCTGGCCCAGAGCTCACCTCTTCTCCACAGAGAGAATGGCTGTGCAGGCATTTTTCAATCTGTGAGCGAGTCGGAAGAGTGTTTTAAACAGAGCATCCGTTAGGTCATCGTCGTAGAACACTGCAGGGAAGAAAACAGGCATTAGGGGAAAACGTGCAAATACCAGAGAAATCTGTTCCTCAGAGGACCCCACGCCACCGCGGACGGGGCCCTGATGATCCGGAGCATCAGTTCCCGGAATTCACACTGCACGGAGATGTGGGGATGTCCCGGGAAGGTGCTCCTAGACGCAGAGGACGCCGAGTGGCGGGTGCTGCGTGTGGCCCGTGACAATGACACTGGCTGTGAGGGGCCGGCGCTCACCTTCGGCCGCGAGCAGGATGGTGGTGTGGCCGTACAGGTCGGAGATGTCCTCTTCCGACCAGCTGAAGGGGACTTCAGGGTCTGGGAGAAAAGAAGAAACAGTGTTTTGTGCTCTCTCCTTTCTCTGTGGCCACCAACTCTGACGGAGAGACAGACTGAGGCTTCAGAAGAAATGGGGTTGGGGCCGTTGGGTGCAGCAGGCACTGCCAGGCAGCCCCGAGTCCCAGCGCCCCAGCTTCAGGGACACGGCTGCCCATGCGGGACCACAGTGAGAGGTGCCCTTCGCGAGGGGGCAGCGCAGTGAGTGGGGACGGGTGGACTTGGCCTCACCCTCTGCCTTGCCCGCAGCCCGTGCAAACAGGACCTGTCCCGTGTCCCTGGCTCCCCACCCGTGTTCACTGTGCGGCCCCGGGAAAGGGCTTCACCTCTGGTTTCAGGGTCCGCACTAGGCGGCTCCCTCAGAGGATGGCTGGGGAGGGGACAGGACCTAAGGTATGCTATGTGCTTGGTCGATGGCAGGTACTCCACAAGCAATGATTTTCCCTGCCTGACGTCTTACAGGGCAAAGAAGTTTTCATGCAAAGAAAGAGCAAGCCTACAGGTCTGAAACAGTTTGTAGAAGGAATTCAGAAAACCCTCACCCAGAGCTCCGAAGCCATGTGGCCGGCTCCCTGCTGTGGGACCCTGGAGTCGGAGACCTGGTCCACACCGGATCCCCTGGGTGGGCGCTCACCCCGAGCACTGGTCTCCACTCATTACTCAAGGGTTCACACCTGCTGCACAGTGACACTGTGGAGTCTGAATACCATGAATGGAAGGTGCCTGGCACACAGCAGGTGCCAGGAGTAACACCTGTCACTTTCAGCCACTGAAGGGAACTTGCTGTGAGCTGTGGACCATGGTAGCAGCCTGGATCTGCTGTCAGTCAAGGCCACAGGATCACCGGCCTTGAGATATTACCAGGAACCACTGAATGAAATGGGACACGAGAGGAAGACACGCACCAGTGCAGAGGTCGTCTTTCAGCCAGTCCAGTTCTCTGACCTTAACTCCACCGCCTGTAAAACAAACAAACAGAACTTCCCAAGCTCTGTAAACAATTAGGAAAAAGGAGAAACGTTTACACTGTACACCAAAACCCATCCATCCATCTCACCCTCCTTTATTCTCCCTCTCTCCTTCCTATCCACCCATCTTCCCACTCATCCATATATATCCTGTTATCCATCCATCCACCCACCCACCCATCCATCCAGCATTTTTTGAGTGCTGAGTATTAGGTTCCATGCCAGGCACAGGGAATACAAAGATTTATGAGACACGTGCCTGTCCCTGGGGACCCACAGCTGAGGAGAGACTGGCAAGTTAGCAGACACGGACAAGGCAGGAGGTCAGGGCAATGTTAAGGGGATGTGCAGGTGCCCGGGAGGAAAGAGGGGCTCTTGTGTCGGAGAGGGTGTTGGGAAGGCCCAGAGAAGGCAACCATGCCTGCTTCGTGCTTCGTCCTATTGACTGGTTACCGTACACTAAACAAACACCAAGCAGTGGGGACCACAGACAAGGCCCTGCCCTCATGGGGCATGTGGTCCAATGGGATGGCAGACACCAATCAACCAGTCGCATCAACAAATGTCAAATGCAATGGTCCAAGGTGTCATGAGTGTGTGACGGGGCTGTGACCTCATCTGGAGCTCGGAGCATAATTAGGAACTGATGGAGGAGGAGGGAGAGAGGCCGTTCCGGGCAGAGGGAGCAGCAAGTGCACAGGCCTCAAGGGGAGGGGAACCTCCAACAAGGCCAGGAAGACTCGGCTGGAGGAACCGCTGTGTGGGAGGGGCTACAGACAGGTAGGGCCAGATCCTGCAGATCTCAGACAAGCAAACAAATTCGGTCTGTACTCGGAGAGCATCGGGAAACCTATAAAAGGTTGGCAGCTGGAATGACCGGATCTGAATCTGGAAAAGCGCCCCGGGCTGCTCAGAGGACGAAGGTCCGCACAGGCAGTCCAATGAGGAGTTGGCTGCTGGCATGTACCACGCAAGCTTATTCTTGCAGGTTGTGCAGGCTGGCAGGGGGGACATTCCGACAGAGGGAGGGGCATCTGAAATGGGTCCTCGGCTCACTGAATGCAGAGCTGGAGCGGGACCATTAGGAGAAGAGGCAGGGGAGGCAGGCAGGGGTGGACCAGGAGGTTTGGGAGCCAGAGAAAGAGTTTGAACTTTACCCCTTGAAGAGGTCAGGCTCCATCTAGAAAGGTCACTCTGGATGCTACATGGAGGACAGCGTGGCCAGGTCAGACAAGGACCTGGGTGATGAGGGAGGGGCCACTGTGACGTGCAGGAGGGAGAGGGCTGACGTTGGCTGTGGTGTGGGAAGGAGATGATGCAGGGGCAGTCATCTAGGATCTGAAACTATGTGAAACTAATAAGGCTCTGGTCCCTGCATTCACCGGGGTGTAGAGGGAAGCAGGCGAAACCCCATCTCCCAGGTCACGGTCCTGAGTGTTTGTCCTACTTGCCAAACAGAGACCCTTCCCTCCCAGGCTGGGCCTCACCTCCAGGGGCAGTCAGGTGGCTGTTGAGGGCAATGTTTCGTTGGCACATGGCCAAGAGGTCTGCACCGACATCTGGAACAACAGAAGGATATGCCATCAAGCGCCAGCCACTACGACGCTGTATTTCCGTGTTGTTGCCCGGAGAGCTGATGTCAACAGCACGACTACAGAAACGTGCAACACTGAGACTAAACGTCTCCTGTGTGTTTTACTGCCAAGATTAACTATGTACCTTAAGGCTCTTTTTAATGAGCTTTCCTTTAAATAAGAGATGGTCGCCCTGGTGGAGACAGCCTCTGTGCACGCCAGAGGGAAGGGTGAGCTCCCCTTCTCTAGTTTCTGAAACCTCCACGGCACATCCCATAGCCACGCTGAGTGTTTCTAACCACCCACAGGCCGGGATCACGGCTCCCATCTCACAGATGAAGGCTTGAGCAAGGTCATGCCACTAGTAAGAACAAGGGCTGGGATTTGAACCTAGGCGTCTCTGACTCCAAGTCTAGGCTCACTCTTTGACACCCTAGAAAACTGACCAGAGTTAGAGGGGTGTTTGGATGTGATTAATGGATACACAGAGCAAATTCAAACAGGCTGGAGGCAGCTCTCCTGTGCACTATTCACTGCCACTGCCATGGCATCTTTCCCCAGCCGCCTGCTACTCTGACCAGGTGGGGTTTCCTATCATTTCAGCAGGACTGAGTTGCAATGCAGAGAATCCTTGCAGGGGTTGAGGGGTGACGGGGGGGCAGGGAGGAGGGCGGTGAGGGACGGAGGGGTGTAGTGCTGTGCCAAAAAATTATTTTCCAATTAGAACATATGTGTGGAAGGTACAAAGTCTTGTTAAGGACACCTGCCAGGCCACTGTGGCTGTGACGCCCCATCCCGACCACTGCAGACTCCCTGGGACCAGACTACCGTCTCTATTCCAGGACCGTGCAGAGTCCGGTAGAGGGACAGCTCCCAGCTCTCCAAGGGCACATAGCTGTCCCTTCTCCAGGCCACAGGGTGGAGAGGATATTGATGGTGTGTGCCCGACGGCACAAAACTGGTTCAGAAGTTTTTAACCCTCTATGATAGTTTTTGTCCAAACAAGTCTCGTGTGGGACTGTAACATATGAAAGATAAGAAAGGGGCAGCTCTGGCTGAGTGGGGGTGGGACCCTGGAGCCCTGGGGTTGTTCCACCACCCCTTACCGCATATGACCTTGGCCAGTCCTTTGACCTTAGCCTCAGTCTACTCATTTGGACAAAGGGATGGCAACACGCTCCCTGGCAACTGCCCAGGGCCACTCACTGTGAAGTTAGGAGCAGGTCCTGATGTACATGGAAGGTTTTATTAACTGTAATGTGCCATCCCAGGGCACGCTCTCTTCTTCATGGTGGTAAATCCCTCTCAAGGATAAGACACCTTGATCACGTCCTGCTATGAGGCACTAGGCAGAGAACACAGCTCTGGGGTGTTGCATTAGGTGTGACTCTGGGAAGTGCTCACTGGCAGCCGACATGAAAGTGTCAAGGAGCATCACACAGGGTGGCTGCCGGCACACGCTGACTCGGTTGGCTTAGGATATCCGAAAAGCGTGCCCCAATCACAGGCCATCCCTAGCTTCCTCTTCCCTGTCTCAGGAGCAAGAGATGCAGCCTTTGAAAATGGGACCTAGGAACCAATGAAAGGCAAACCACCTCAGCAGGCACCATTTTCAACTAGTGGACATTAAAGGCTCAGAACATAATGACAGCACCTGCCCGATGAGCTAGCACTGTCTTATAAGCTGTGAACGCTCTACAAGAGCAGGTTGGGCACGTCAGGAGTTAGCTGACAGTCGCTCATGTCATTTGCTGGTTTTCAGCAACTAGGTTATGTAAGATGTTATTGTTGAAGGGAGCTGGTGAAGGGTGCATGGCACTTTCTGTACTATTTTAGCAACTTCTGGGTGAGTCTAATGTTATTTCAAAATTAAAAACTAAAAAGAAAGCAGTTGGCAACATGTATCAAAAGCCTAAGAAAGGGCACACTAGTAGGAATCTAGTCTAACAATGAACAAAGGTGCTTATTGCAGTGTAACTGACAGATGCAAAATAAACAAAAATATCATGGGAACAACCAATATGCCCAGCAAAAGGAAAATGGTAAAAATAAAAAAGATGATGCCGAGGCCGGTTTGGCTCAGTGGATAGAGTGTCGGCCTGCGGACTGAGGGGTCCCAGGTTCGATTCCGGTCGGGGGCATGTGCCTGGGTTGCGGGCATATCCCTAGTGGGAGATGTGCGGGAGGCAGCTGATCGGTGTTTCTCTCTCATCGATGTTTCTGGCTCTCTATCTCTCTCCCTTCCTCTCTGTAAAAAGTCAATAAAATATATTTAAAAAAAAAAAAAAGATGAAACATTACTTGGTCATTAAAATCTTATTTATAAATAATTTTTAATGACATGGGAAAATACTCTTAAAAATGTTTTCAAGCCCTGACTGGTTGGTTCAGTGGATAGAGCATCGGCCTGGGGACTGAGAGGTCCCAGGTTCAATTCCGGTCAAGGCCATGTACCTTAGTTGCGGGCACATCCCCAGTGGGAGGTGTGTAGGAGGCAGCTGATCGATGTTTCTAATTCTCTATCCCTCTCCCTTCCTCTCTGTAAAAAAATCAATAAAATATATATTTAAAAAAAAATGTTTTCAAGCCTGGCTGACATGGCTCAGTGGCTGAGTGTCCACCTATGAACCAGAGGTTACGGTTCGTTTCCCAGTCAGGGCACCTGCCCGGGTTGTGGGCTTGATCTATGATTCTCACTCATCATTGATGTTTCTTTCTCTCTCCCTCTCCCTTCCTCTCTGAAATCAATAAAAATATATTTTAAAAAATTTATTTTTGAACATTTTTAGAGGATACAGTACTGAATATATAGTTTGATTGCAGCTATTGTTTGGGAGTATGTACAGTCCAAGCATCTGACATGCTTGATGTACACACAAAAGAAAATGGATTATAAGAGAAATATACAGCTAAAATATAGGTTCTAAAACATTTGTTCCCTGATGTCACCAACCTGTTTTATTCATTCCCGGATCTCCTGCATCTAGAACCACAGCTGGCACATAGTAGGTGCTCACTAAGCTGAGTACTGAATCTGGGGATTCTAAACTTATGAGTAATTTTAATTTGCTCTTCTCCACAAGGTCTCCATTAAGAGTAATAAAGGTTTCTGTAAGCGGGGAAAAATAACAAGCTGGTTTTTAAGCCTTATAAAAGGCACAGTCTTTGTGGTTTCCTGAGATGTTTGCTCCTTCACGGGGGTGTGATCAGAGGCACCAGCAGAGACCCCGGCACCTTCTGAAGCAGAACTCCAGCTGCCAAGGACTGGGTGTTGCTGGGTCATTCTGACATTATTGAGAAAACAAGGAGGGTGGAAGAAACCACGGAACAGGAAGGCAGAATCAGTAGCAGCTAACGTCCCATTTCCATTCCTCTCTCTCACTTTTTTTTTAATCCTCACCTGAAGATATTTTTTCCATACGTTTGTAGAGACAGTGGAAGGGAGGGAGAGAGACAAGAGAGAGAAACATTGATGTGTGAGAGAGACACATCGACTGCTTGCCTCCCGCATGCACCCTGACTCGGGCTGGTGACTGAGCCTGCAACCGAGGTACGTTTGACCAGAATTGAACCGGAGACCCTTTCGTTGGTGGGCTGATGCTCTAACCAATGAGCAAACTGGCTAGGGCATCGCTCTCTCACTTTTTTACAGTCAGTACACGCTTTGTGAAGAGACGGCTTCCCCTCAGGCTGAGATGGTGGGTGTTACCTGTACAATACACGGTCTGCGCCGCGGTGGCTGCAATGATGCTGGTGAACCCCGTGCCCGCCCCGAGCTCCAGCACGGTGCGTCCCTGGAAGAGGTCCCGTTGGAACAGGAGATAGTCAGCCAGGAACAGGGCACCCCGCCACACCTGGAGGGAGACGGACAAGGAAGGACAGGTGACGTGAGGCTCCGGAGAGACCCTTCAGGGCCACGGGAAGTGGATGGGACCTACCCACCTGCTTGCCAACATCCTCCAGGGGCGTGGCCATGGTGTGTTCTGGACAGAACGGAAATCAAAAGAGAAAGGGCCGCTGTGAAAATGGGGATGGACACAACACAGAGGAGGAGCATGGCAAGCTGCACACGTGGTGAGATGGGCACTGGGGTCGGGCCTCTAGGGAGCAGCAGAAACACAGGCTGTGCCACCAGCTGGGAGGGACATCGGAGCGCCACTCTCAGTCCAGGCACCAGGGCCCCCCTCAGAGAGCTGGGACCCTCTGCCCCACAGCCTGAGGACCAGGGTCACAATCGCCTTGGCTCAACCTAACCACACACACCCACACTCCACTTTTCATGTTTAATAACTGTTTATTACAATTGTCACCTTAATGTTGTTTTGATCAAGTGTACGCTTACAATAATCACAGCTCATTCCACAATATTTCCTTACACTTACAGCCACATGATAAGTTGACAAAATAAGCTTTGAGTTTTACATCCTTTTCTGCGTGAAGAGAAGGATATAAGAAGTATTCGCAAGCACAAAATATGTTAGGGTAAAATCTGATGGTGGCAGTTGGGGGAAGAGAACAGAAATATGAGACCAAGGAGAAAAAGGAATGATGGCAAACATGGTTGCTGTTAAATAAGAACTGGCTCTTATATTTTCAAGCGAGATGGCGATGGCTATCAAATTTAAACACACAACACATGCACAGCAGGGTAGCTTCGCATCCTTACTGGACGTGCAAGAGTCAAACCCCAGCTCAGGACCCAGGGACTAAGGCGGGGAGGAGATAGCCAGGTTGGAAGGAGCGTGGGTGATGCTCCCTCCAGGAGGGCCTGCCCAAGGAGATCCCTCAGGGGTGGACACCTCCCCCAAGCCAGGCCTGGGGCTGGGACAGAGGATTTTACGTGACCCTCATAATGGCCCTGTGCGTAGTTATCACCAACCCGTTTTACAGATAAAGACACTGATGTTTCCATCTCTCTCTCCCTCTTCCTTCCTCTCTAAAATCAATAAAAATATATTTAAATAAAGAAAAGAAAGGTGAACTTTTGGCAACGGGATACAGGGAGATGGGTGGGTGGGGAGCAGGCCACACACCAGCCCTTTCCTGTGAGGCTTGATCTTTTGCTTGCAGGATGGTAAGTTCCCAGAAGACTAAACACATGCACACCACAGGCCAAACACTTATGAAATAACCAAGTCTGCTCCTCTCTTCCCCTGACCACTCCCCCAATCCCCGCAGGGAGGCCAAGTGAGGATTGAGAGTGAAATGAGCCAATGAGCCAGTCCCCCAAACAAAATTTGCAATGTTTTGATCACCTCTGAGCCTCAGCTCCCTCCTCTGTGAAATGGGAATGTTCATTCTTGGAAAGGCCGTGAGGACCAGAGGTAATGCACAGGACACACAGAACAAGGTTCTGGCATGAATTCCGTGTCTGGACTTGCTGGGACCAGCCTTCCTGGTGCCGGCAGGCACTCAATAACGGACTGTTAACATGTGGGCAGGTGGCTGTCAGAGCCGCTAGTCTGTCTGTCTGTCTGCCCGCAACCAGGCCCAGGTTTATTTGAGTCCTCAAGCACCATCAGGGACCCTGGATCTCAATGAACAGACTCAAACCAGAGCTCTCTCCCCAAAATGAGCAGCGCTGGGGGTGACAAGAGTCCTGGCTGTGGAGACAGATCACATGGATTCATCGCCAAGCAGCATGGCCTTGGGCTTGTCACTTCCTCATCCATACTCCCCTCAGAGGGGGCTGTGAAGACTACATGAGGTGATGTAGGTAAAATATCAGAACACGACAGGTGTCTAACCAGCACTGGCTCATTCCTGCCCCGGATCCATGTAGATCCTGGCACTTCCAGGGATTTGAAATCCTGGGGTCACCAAAGCCCTCTGCTCCACCCCTGTGCCGAGGTGAAGCCTCTTTCTGGACCCATGTCTCCTGCTATGCTGTCACCTCTCCTTCCCGACCTGGCTCCCAGCTCCCCGCTCCCGGTCCATCTGACTGGCTCACAAACTCCTCCAGATTAATCCTGGATCTACCTCCTTGCCCCTGTGCCACATTCTAGCTCCAAAATCTCTCATGGCTCCCTGGCGCCGGCCAAGCTAGCCCAGTGTTCCACACCCTCTCCCCCTGACCCACACCACCAGCATGCCAGCTGGGTCAGAACATCAATGTGGGAGGCAGAAGCGGAGGGCGTCCTGGAGGAGGTGATGGCAAATGCTACGATTCCCTGGCCCGGGCCTGAACACAGAGCCAGCCTCAGATACGTGACTTGATCAGTACTGTGGTGCCGCCTTGGTGGCAGACGAGCAAGACCTCATTTACCTATTTTGATGATATTGTGGGTGCTGCTCTCCCGTGCTTCGTCTCCCAGGACGTCCTCTTCTTCCTGCGCTAGAATCATGGGGTGTACCTTGTCTCTCGGAGGCCAAACAGGGTCGGGGTCAGAGGCAGCTCGTGGTCTTCTAACAACGTCCAAATCCCCATCCTCGTCCAGCTGAGCTCCTGTCCCTTCCTGCCCAGCCTGGAGGGGGAAACCTGCACCGCTGTGGCCACGCCCAGGAGGGGACCCGGTGCTGCCTGTCCTAGCCGGAGTCTCCTCTCTGGGGACATCTCTATGATCACCTCCCATGGTCCCCGAGTCTGTCTGAGAGTCCTGGTTCCACAAAAGCTTGAACTGGGACAGAAAAACTGAAAGACAAAACACAAAAGGAGACTATTTCTCTCTCCCTTCCCCTCCTTTCGGAAAACTTGATGTCTGACTTCTAGAAAGCGTGGTAAAGGCCAGGGGGAGGCATACGCATGCCAGTGGGAAAGGCCTGTTTGACTCAGCCATGACCCTGGGGACACCACAGCAGCCGCAACCACCACCGAGGACGACAGCTACTTAGTACAGTTGATGAGCATCGACAATGGAGGCACTCCGCCCGCATTATCTCACTCCATCCTCACAGTGGCTATGGAGACAGCAGTAATGGCTCCATCTCAGAGACGTGGAAACTGAGGCTGAGAAATTAAGTGAGCCCACAAGGCCACACAGCTTGGAAGGTGGCTGAGGCAGAGGCAAGACTCACACCTGGTCTGCTGGACTCCTCAGCGGATGCCCTTCTCACGACACTCTTCCACTTAAGGTCTGGAGGACAGGACAAGGATACCAAGTGTCCCTCACCATCCGGTGGCCAGGAAGTCACTGGGACAAGTTTCAGGAAGAGGATGTGTGTCAGGAGAGGAGGGCTGGAGGCGGAAGGAGCAAGGACTTGGGTGGACAGTCCTAGGCTGGAGTCCTCCATCTCCCCAGGCTGCCTGACCCTGGGCAAATCACTTATCTATTCTGAGCCTCAGTTTCCAGAATCCAGGAATCCACACTGAGACACGAGGGAAGGGGAAGTTCTTAGTCACACCAGAGTAACGAGCTAATTGCAGAGTGATTGGAGCTGGGAAGGGTGGCCGGAGAGGGTCCGTCTGACGTGACATCTGGGGAGCCAGGGCAAAGAGGAAAGAATGTTCTGGGCGGAGTGAACAGCAAAAGCAAACGCACTGAGGAAGGAAGGTGTGTGCAGTGTGTCACCGGCAGAAAGGAGCGGAAAGTGGCCGCAAACTACAGTGGGAAGGCCAGGGAGGGTTGGGGGGGTGGTGGTGGTGGTGGTGGTGGTAAGGGATCAACCGAAGGACTTGTATGCATGCATATAAGCATAACCAATGGACACAAGACACTGGGGGTAGGGGAGGCCGGGGGAAGGTCAAGGGGGGTGGGTGGAAGGAGACAAATGTAATACTCTTTGTAATACTTTAAACAATAAAACAAAATTAAAAAAAGAAAAGAAAGTGGCCACAGAGCGGTAAGGGAGAGGGAAATAGGTGTGGACACAGAGGCAGGGGCTCGGCGAGCTGGGCCTTGCAGGCTACGCCAAGGAGCCTGATTTTACTCTAGGAGCAAGGGGAAGCCACTGGAGGTCTAAATCAGGGCAGCGATGTGATCGACATTTTCAAGAGATCCCTTGGCGCCTGGGGAGCTGAGTGGGGGAGAGTGCAGGGGAAAAGCCAGGGAGCCCTGGTGGGAGGAGCTAGAGGCAGCCAGCAAGGGAGGGAGAGTGCTGGACTGGGGTCGGGGCAGCAGGGATGGAGGGCCCTGCCCAGGAGCCCCAGGGCCCGGTCTCCCTGTTGGACTCCAGGCAGAGCTCGGCCCATTCACTTCTGCCTGGCACCCAGCAGGTGCTCAGCAAAGCACAGTTTCCTCAGGGAAAGAAAGCACGGAACGGTGTGATGATAACAGTTCGTCCAGTCTTCCCAACCTTTCCCCCCAAAACGAGTCTGAGAAAACACTGGGGTCCACAGGGTGCCAGGCCCCTCCGCACACACCAGGCAGGACCTTACCAGGCTGCCCCATGCTGTTCAGCCGCACCATGAGGTGTCTCTGGTTGGGGGTGTAGAGGTGGACGTCGGAGAGCACCGTGTCACTTTTGAAGGTGACCTCGTCCATGGTGGGGGTGGAAGCCAGCTACCAAGGCCCGCTGATTGCCAAAGAGCAGCACCTGCGAGTGGACAGCAGGCCCCACAGGGGGCAGCACAGAGTAAACTCCCCAGCCAGGTGGAAGCAGCACGGTATCACCTGGGGAAGCGCTTTCCTCGTCCCTTCTTTTAAATTTTTCCTAAAGAAACTAGCTGGGAGCGCGCCCCTTTCCCGGGCTCCGCACCGTCCTGGGATGGGGACAGCAGCCTGGTCCCAGGGAGTCCCCGAGCTGGGCAAGGGAAAAGAATCCGTCCAGAATCGTGCTATTTTGTTTGCACTGTGTTCACTGTCGTGGTAATCTCTTATGTTGAGCATAATGTTTCGTTTCCCTTTTAACTTTTTCCAACTTTATTATGAGGATTTTTAAGCAGACAAGGAAGTTGAGGGTATGGCATGTAAGCACATACTCACTGCTTAGTGATTCAATGACCATCAACATTTTGTCACGTGCTCGCTCTGCCTACCCGAGGCTTCAGGGCCGAGGTGGGATTTGAACACGGGACTTGGTGCCAGGAGACCCCGCCCCTTCCCTTGCCCCACCACCTCTCCCACAGGCTTACCGGCTCCGGGCCCGGCCGCAGCCCGGAGTCCCACCCGACCCTCTCGCGGCGGGGCTCAGACTGCCGCCATGGCAGGCGGCCTGCGCAGGCGCGGCCCCGCCCCCTCTGCGTGCGTCGGCCCGCCCGGCCCCCTGACCACGCCCACCTGCTCGCGCTGCGCCTGCGCGCCGGGCCGCCGGCCAACACATGCAGTTCTGGTTCTGGGCTCCAGGGAGGTGCAGTGCTTACCTGCCCTGGTTTTCTGGGGCGCCCGCCTGGGTGGGACCGGTCTGCGTGTGGGGGGCCGGTAGATAGCTCGCCCAAGGTCACGGCTGCTGAGTTGAGGGGCTTTGATTCCAGCTGGATAATAGGGCTTTAGAGCGTGTGCTGTTAACCAGCGTGACAGCTGGTTATTCATTGTTACCATCTTTGCTCTTAGTACTCATTGTTCATAGCTGGTGGTTATTTCGTTCATTCGTGCACTCGTGAGGTCCCCAATGCCCGGCGAATGAAGAATCTCAGCCTTAATTAGAGTTTAATAGGAAATGAAATCCGATTCATATGTTGTACTTAAAGTGAACTTCCAAACACGAAAGGCCACATGTAAAATGTATTTGTGCGCGCCAAGCACACACGCAGCGCCTCAACCGGCTCCCTTTGTCTTAATTATTTTTTAAATGTAATTCTCTCTTCAAGACAAAAGAGGGTAAAGATCCATTTCATGGTTACTGTTGATAGAACACGGTGGGGTGGGGAGTGTTTGACAGGGTGACCAAGCAACACAGATTTTTTTTTAAGCAAACAGATTGTGTTTCCTGAACTCCCAGGACAGTACATGAAGAGCCGGCTGGCCATCTTGGGAGCCTGTTGTAGTCCTGGCTCAGTTGTCCCCAGGACGCTGCCTAGCAGAGCTGGGATGCAGACTCAGGTTTCCGAAGCGCCCCAGTGAGTCTGTCGGATGGAGCCGCAGAGTGAAAGGCCCCTTTAGAACTCTTCCTCTGAGAGTGTCCTCCAAGGCTTGGAGGTGCCAGGGTTATGGTGCTAACTCACTTATGCTGGAGTGCACATGACCATGGCTGCCGGGGCTAATGACATCATGTATACAACTAAGGGAAGGTGGGCAAACTGCCAGATGTGTGACAAACTGCCAACTTACAGGGATTTGCTGTCAGGTGATTATTATTAGCTTGGGAATTTAAAACAGCCCCTTTTCCAAATGTCGTGTTTACCAAGCACTGATGTGTTTTCCCAATCAGCCCTAGAAGATGTTCTCTTGGTGAGAGCTCCGCCCCTAGGACTGCTGGAAGCAGCAATTATAATCTGTCCCCTGCCTCACACTGCTTCTAACAGCAGCTGCTACAGATTGTTGCCCTGGTTCCTGGTTTTGTGTGGACGGGCATCAAACTGACCTTCAGGTGGTTCAGATCCCCAGCTCGGCCACTGATCAAATTCACTTGTTCAATACATAATCGTGGAGAGCTTTTCATGTGCTAGGCCAGTGATGGTGAGCCTATGACACATGTGTCAGAGGTGACACGCAAACTCATTATTGTGGTTGATTTTTCTATGTTAAATGGCATTTAAATATATAGAATAAATATCAAAAATATAAGTCTTTGTTTTACTATGGTTGCAGATATCAAAAAATTTCTATATGTGACAGGGCACCAGAGTTAAGTTAGGGTTTTTCAAAATGCTGACACGCCGAGCTCAAAAGGTTCGCCATCACTGTGCTAGGCACTCGGGCACGTTGCCTAAGTTCTCTGAAATGTAATTTTCCAAGTTCTGAAAATAATACCTACTTGGAAGCGTTGTGCAAATGAGCGAGACATAACACGCGGAAAGTTCCAGGCACAACTCTCCCCCACTTCTTGAGGTGATCTGACAGTATCTGGTGTATTTTAAAGAACTCACCAATTTCATTAATTTTATCAACTTGTATTGTTATATTAAAAAGAAAGCAGTTACAGTGTCATAGTACTGTATAATATCAGTTACATAAGAGAAAAAAACCTCACAAAATACTGCATTTCCTCAGGACATGCATGTTATGTAAATGCACAGAGAAAAGTTTGGAAAGATGCCTTCAAACTAAAATGCTTTCTTTTTTTATATATATTTTTATTGATTTCAGAGAGGAAGGGAGAGGGAGAGATAGATAGAAACATCAATGATGAGAGAGAATCATTGATTGGCTGCCTCCTGCACGCCCCCTACTGGGGATCGAACCCACAACACAGGTATGTGCCCTTGACCGGAATCAAACCGGGGACCTTTTAGTTCATAGGCCCACGCTCTATCCACTGAGCCAAACTGGCTAGGGCTAAAATGCTTTCTTCTTGGGAGAAGGCATGGATGGACAGGGGTAGGTCCAAAGAGACTTTGTTTTAATTTTTAAAGTGATGCATCATGTGTTACTTGTATAGTTAGAAATTTATTTAAAAATGAAAGTGCAAAAAAAAAAAAAGATAAAGTTCACTTATAAATGTTAAAAAAATAAAATAAAAATGAAAGTGCAAAGGAGCTTTCACTAGTCAAATATGGGACAATATGAGCATTGACATGAATAGTGACAAGACTATAATACTAAAAATAATCTATGCAAATGGAACCCAAACAAATGGGCCTTTACCTCTTTGGACAGCTCTAACAAAATGTCATAGACTGTGTGTGTGGTTTATAGATGATAGAAATTGATTTCTCACAGTTGGAGTGGCCGGAAGTCCAAGATCAGGGTGCCAGTGTGTCAGGTTCTAGGGAGGCCCTCTTGGGTTGACACAAACATTCAGACCGTAGCACACACATGTTTATAAGAACACTAAATAGCAACCCAAGTGTCTATCAACTGAAAAATAGATAAATAGAATGTGGTAATCCATGTAATGGACTGTTTTCCAGCTCTAAAGTGGAACAAAGTCCTGATACATGTTACAGTGTGGAAGAACCTTGAAAACATGAAGCTAAGTGAAATAAGTCAGACCTAAAAGGCCACATATGGTATGATGAAGCTTAACTTGTTTCCAAGCTTCATCCACTCATATAAAATATCCAGAACAGATAAATCCATGGAGACAATAAACGGATGAATGGTTACCAGAGGCTGGGGAAGGAGGAGTGGGGAGTGACTGCTCAATGGGTAGCAGTTGCCTTTGGGTGATGAAAATGTCTGGGAAATAGGTAGAGATCACAATGGTGGTTGTACAACATTGTGAAAATACGAAATGCCACTGAATTGTACAATTTACAATAGCGAATCTTATGTGAATATTACTCCAATAGAAAAAGCCACGAATTCATAATGATACTAAAATAAAAATGTTAAAGAAAGGGGTGGATGAAAAACTGTGATGAGCAACTGTAGAAGGATGGATAGAAATAGAAAAACACTCTGTAAGTCACCAAGATAATGAATGATCCAGACAAAAATCTTCAATGGATGTTGACACCATTGGGAGAAAGACTGTTGTGGGACAGGATATTCACACAGGCACCCAGGGAGCAGTAAGTGTCTGTGGTTTTTAAGTCACCCAGCCTGTGGTATGCTGGTATATCAGCCCGAAGGAAGCAAGATAAGATATAACTTACGGACTATAAAACCCATCATTTAAAGTGTACAAATCAGTGGATTTAGTAAATTCACAGGTTGTACAACCATCACCACTATCCAATTCCAGAGCATGTTCGTCACCCCAAAAAGAAACCCTGTACCCATTAGCATTTACTCCCCATGGCCTTCTTCCCTGGCAACCACTAATCTACTTTCTGTCTCTATGGATTTGCCTCTTTTGATATTTCATATCAATAAAATCCTATGATATGTACTATTTTGTGTGTGGCTTCTTTCATGAAGCTTAACTTTTTTCCAAGCTTCATCCATGCTGCAGTATGTATCAGTACTTTGTTCCCTTTTAATAGCCAAATAATATTCCATGGTATGGGTAGACCACAGTTATTTATTCATTAGTGGATGGACATTTGGGTTATTTCTACTTCCTGGCTATCCTATATAATAAAGAGGTAATATGCAAATTAACCCTCACACCCTCACAAGATGGTTGCCTATGATCAGGCCGGCAGGGGGGTTAGTGAGGGACGACCAAATGACTGAACAAGCAGGCTGCGTGGGACAACCAGGCCAGCGGTGGTGGTGGGGGGGGGGGGGCAGCAGTTAGGGGAGACCAGGCCGGTGGAGGGTGGGTGCAGTTGGGGGCGACCAGGTCGGCAGGGGAGGCAGTAAGGGGTGACCAGGCTGGCAGGGAGGGGGCAGTTGGGGGCGACCAGGCAGGCAGGCAGGTGAGCGATTAGGAGCCAGCAGTCCAGGATTGTGAGAGGGATGTCCGACTGCCAGTTTGGAGAGGGTGCAGGCTGGGCTGAGGGGACTCCCCCCCCCCCATGCACAAATTTCGTGCACTGGGCCTCTAGTTATGAATAACAGCACTGTGAACATTCATGTAAAGTTTTGGGTAGACATAAGTTTTCATTTCTCTTGGTTACATCCGTAGGAGTGGAATTGCTGGGTCCTATGATAACTATGTTTAACCTTTTGAGGAACTACCAGACTGCTTTCCAAAGTGACTGAACAGTTTGACATTCCCTCTAGCTCAGTATGAAACTTCCAGTTGCCTGAAGTTTAATCTTCTTGGGAAACTCTTGGACCCAGTGTAAGACATGCATTCCCTAAGGGGCAAGGGTGCTGGAGTGTTTATACACCAAAACCCACAGCCATTGGGTAGGCTCTAGTTACTTCCCTTTTCTGATTGGCTGTGTGAGAGCAGAGTGACTCCAGGAAAAGCCTGTTGATGCTGCCAGTTGGAAGTCAGGTCCGTATGCATGGGAGTGGTAGGAGGAGGGGATATGGTGGGGGATCCATGGCACCTGCTACTGCTGTTCTTGTGAATTGTTCTAGCATTAACGAGCCGGTCTTCATATCCCCCAAAGGGCTGCAGAGGGCCCACGGCAGTGTTTAAGCTGCACAGCTTAGGGCCTGTGGTGGGTGGCAAAGTACCCTCCCAAAATTCTTGTTCACCTGGAATCTCTGAATCTGACCATATTTGGAAACAGGGTCTTTGTAGATGTAATTAATTAAGGATCTTGAGACAAAGTCATCCTGGATTTAG